GGAACAAACTTTTTAGCGCTGCCCCGCAGTTTTATCAACTAAATAGCTTAATCGCTCTAGAGCTACATTATCTTTCTCAACAAGGAGCTGATAACATCATCGTTATTAAAAAGCAATTAAATCCACAGCTTCACTGTTAATAGAGAAACATGGCAAAATGGTGGTAATTCATACATACACAGCCTCTCTCTCTCGCTCTCTCTCATAAATGAACACTTGATGAATCACACTTTTCTGAGAATAGAATATTAAAGTGGAAATCGCTAAACTGCAAGCTAAGCGGTGTTTTCAGAAAACAAGCGCGTTTATCCACAGTGGAGAGACTGCGCGTGCACACGGTTGCCAGGTTGACAAAGATAAGTAGCACACTTAGCAGATATTTCCGTATTGCGCAAGTGTAAAGCTCTGTTTTGGGGATTACGTCTCTTTATATCAGGCAACCCAGTTGTGTTCCTCTGCGGCCAGATTAAACCTTGTTGTAGCCTATATATCAGGGGTGGCGAACTCCGGTCCTGGAGAGCCGCAAGTCCTGCAGAGTTCAGCTCTAACCCTAATAAAAACTCACCTGCCTTGCTGTGGTGGCAGGACTATTTCTCATGGACCACGCCTCCTCCTCACCCAAGAATCACATACACTCAGAATTGAATTTATTGTAACTAAAAAAGACAAGTAAATAATAAAATAAGAACAAATAAATTAATGACAATCAATAGCAGCTCATATTGTCAAATCTTTGTGACGATACATCATCGTATCGATATTTTGAACACAGCATTATTATACAGCCATATATTCACAAGTCCAGTGGTTCTTAACCAAATTGGTTTTAGGGAAGTCAAAATTTTATATAGATAATAAGCAGTATAAAACAAGTAATAATAAAATCACTCTACTGATCTATCTATATTTATTCATATTTTTAGTAACATTAAACGGTTAACACTACATTTCAACAGAGGTGTTTGTGTTGAACAAAGACATTAGCACCTATTCATTTAAATAGGAGAACATTTTAATTGAGCTTTTTGCATGGTTTTGGTCTAAAATCTTCATGTTAACACTGACCTAGTGCTTCTGAACTTGTTTGTGCTTAAGGACCTGAATTTTACATTACAGCACAAAAATAAATAGGGTAAACGTACCTATTAAGCTCACGTACCCATTAAGCACACTTTCATGTTTGAGCTCAGATTATGAAAAGAAAAAATTTACAGGGGTGTTTTTTTTTTACATTTGCAACAGTATCATTTTTATCTGTCAAAATCAAAAATGTATGTTTATAAGCCTTTAAAAAATTTTTTTTTTTAAATATAATAAGTAGAATAAGACAAATACGTTACCAATCATATGAAATTAGTATTAATAAAAAATTTATTTGTACTAAAGAGGGTGCACAGAAGAACACAAAAGTGGCTTGTAGGTACATTTTCAGACGTTTAATGAGGCTCAGAGGTCGCATGTTAACACTGACCTAGTGCTTCTGAACTTGTTTGTGCTTAAGGACCTGAATTTTACATTACAGCACAAAAATAAATAGGGTAAACGTACCTATTAAGCTCACGTACCCATTAAGCACACTTTCATGTTTGAGCTCAGATTATGAAAAGAAAAAATAATGTATTATCATACTTGATAGCTTAATTGATGTGTTTGTTACTCAGGGTTCCCACTCTTTCATGAACACCAGATTCAAGGACTTTCAAGGACTTTTTAAAGCACCATTT